CACACATGATTTACCTCCTTATTGGGAGTTCTTGCTGCACCATTACCCATGAATTACAGAGTTGTTACTCTTATTTCCAATGCTGTTACTTTGACACCCTAATAAAGGAGGGAATTTATGTCTCTGAAAGTTTGCTGCATATTAGATGGAAAAAACCTACAGCTATGAAATATTAAAATTGAGATTTTAATCATAGAAAAACAGAAAAATGGAAAGAAGCCATCTCTGGAATACCACTATCTTTGCCTTTTCATGCTCGTGTACCTTTAGACGTTACTCTCTATAAAGGGCTTATTATACATGGTAATTCTAACAGCACTGTAAAAGTAGAGCACAATTCTGCAATTTCCTGATGGCAGGGGAAACTAAATATTTCAAATGGATCTTCATTAAATTCATGCCATTTTTATTATTTTGGATAAGTCCAGTCTGTGAGTCCAGAATGTGAAAAAAATAAAAGGAACATGCAAAAAAAGTGCAAAAAGGGCAGCCTTTTGACTGAGACTGTCCAAAACAGTAAGTCATACTTCCTACCACACAATGCAGTTAATGAAGAAGTGGATTAGTGAAGTCAGTTTGCTACAGAAGCAGTAACTTCTGGGAGAAGAGGTTGCAGTTTTTGGTCTCTTATGTCTGTGAAGGTTTTGCTCCATGGGGCAATCATGCCTGCTGTGTAATCCAGAGTCCTGGCAGGTTTATAACTGTCTAACCGGAAAAAAAAAAAAAAAAAAAAAAAGTTAACTGTTTCCATTAGAAACTGTTTCGGAAATTACTAGATTGAAATATCTATATTGTGAGAAGTAAGCAATTAGGCACTTAAGAATGAAATTGTCCTACACTTCCTTTTTTTCCCTGCAGGATAATTTCAAAATGAGTCAGGCTAATTCTTTGTGGTCTAGAGTTCCTTCGTCTTGTGAACTTAGTTTGGACCAGTTCTGAGAGGGACACTGTCTAACCTCATTGGCAACAGCCAACCCTGAGACCCTGCTTTCTCAAGTAAAACAAATCAGAGATCGAGGCTGACTGGAGATAGGAGCCTTGGGGCTATGTTTTTTATTCTCATATAGTGTAGCATTTTGTTGGAAGAAAAGGTGAGGAGAAAAAAAAAAAAAGTGTGCTACCAGTTTGTGACCAAGTCAAAAACTAAAGTCAAAGGACCGCAGAAAAATAAGAGCTGCATCTGACCAGTAATTTTTTTGTTTTGATTAGTGATGACTTACAAGGCTATTCAGCAAGATTCCCAGCTGTTGGCTGAGGTAGCAGGAAAACAGACTGCTGGGAGAAAGAAGCAATTGAACAACAACCTCTCATGGCTTTCTTCGTCAGGGCAGGTCTCTGCCAGACAGAGCTTCACTTAACACACGTCAGCTACTTCAGGTCTGCTCTCCGTATAGGTCAACTGAAATGAATGGGATTTTTGCAGAAGTAATGATACTGTGAGCAAAAATAAGTAGTGGATTCTTGTAGTTATTTTTATTACCAAAAATCTCCAAAACTCTATTTGATACCCTGCTTTTGAAGAGTTCCCCGCATATATACTAAGTTCTATTAAAAATAATCAAGATGATTTCCATGGTTTTTCAGCAGCTTTCAAATTCTGAACCTAAAACTGAACTGAATTCTCTCTGGCACATAATGGCAAGCCAAGAATCCTAAACTCATTACTTAGCCATTTTTACTATTTTACAGCACATCTCACATACATCATATACATTTCTCAGGAAACCCTATGTAGTTAGTGCAATGCAAAAATTACAACTTTCTCTAACTTGTACATTTGTTCTCTGATATATGCAAGATTGCTAACACAGCCCTGGCATAAGAAAGTGTAGGCAAAGGAGAATAAGACCTATTGCTGCTAGATCTTAGCTGGAAGGAACACAGAAGAGAAGCACCGTGTTGGAACAGCTCCTGTTCTAGAGTCGGGCGATTTACAGGTCTTGTGTGTAATCAACTTGCTCATATTTTACTCTTCTCATTTATGTTATGGAAGGGCAGATTTTGGAATGCTACAGGATACCTTTTCTGGGTATAGTGGTAAAACATGGCTCCCTGCCACAGAAGTAATCCAGAGGCCAGGATCACTTAAAAGGGTGTAAAACTTCCAAAGGAGAAGAGGAAAGCAATAGGAGAAAAAGAAAGTTTACAGACAGCACTTTTTAAATATATATATATATAATAAAAAAGAGATTCTCTTTGTTTCCCAGTTTAACTAGACTGGGTCAGACTTTCCACTGGAAGAAAAGGAAGCATGATTTCACTAAATTCGTGGAACTAATCCATTTTATCCTAGCAAAAGACATATCCCTCGACTCTTGATTTCTGATCCGCAAGAACAAAATAAGGTCCTGCGTGATTAAGTAATTAAAAAAAACACCTACTTTAATATTCAGTAAATACTGTAAATCTGGTTAAGCTGACAAAACATTACCTCATTTGCAAAAAATGACTCCTATAAGCACTCTCGGTGTTGTCTAAAAGAGAGAAATTGCCTTCTTTTCCCTATAAAATTTGCTGACACAGTTATACATTGACTTGTTTATTATGCGTGTCTATTTTGGGTGCCTATTTTAAAATATTATTCTTAATAGAAGCATTCCAATTATTTTCTGTTCTCGGTAGATCAGTGGTCCAGGAGAGGCACTGAATAGGCCAAAAGGCCAGTTATTAGTAGCTTTGGATGACTTTCAAAGAGACTGCCAGAAATTGACAGGTTTAAATAAATTAAAGTGCCAGGTACTGACCATCTCCTTGTATCCTTAGCAAAGCATATATTCCGGGTCTTTATCAGTTACTGCTAACATGCTCAGACCACCTTTAGAAGAGCTTCATAATTCAGGATATTTGATTTATTGTAGTATAATGCAAATAGTGGCGGTTGTCTATCATATTCTCTTCACTGTAAGAGATCTTCACTATCAGCTTTATTATGAAACTAATTATATGTTTGGTGTTATATCTAGCATGCACAGGATGCTCCTGTTCCAAGAAATCTCTCTCAAACATGCACACTTTTGTTTCAGTTTTCGTAAGAGAAAAAGAACATATAGTACTATCAAAATCAACACAATTATATATCTAACCAAAATAGCATGACAAATGTGTCACAGCACTGAGGAAAAATGCATGCATTCAGAATCATAAAGGTTTTGGGCATCAGCGGCACTTGAGATTTAATTTATTTCCAGAAACATGTTCGGTGTTAAGTAGAATAAGCACATTTTACTCATCCAGATTTCAGGGTGGTTACCAAGTGCACCAATACAACTACACTGGGCAACTGCCTACTGTGTTGCATGCTGTTTTTTTGTTTTAATAAGCATGAGAGATGGGAAGATGAGTGGGAACATGGAAGATAGGAAAGAGTAGCTCTCAAGAATGCCTGGTCTTCTCATTCAACTTGAAATATAAAAGAGTTCCTTGCTATTTACTGTAGCAGAAGTGTTACATCCACATGCACGCCTCCGCCTGCCCAAAACATAAGTACTACATTGTCTAGCCATGCAGAATCTGTGAACTTTGTATAAAGTTTGATTTGTAAATTCAAAACTTTCGCTCTAAACTGTCCATATACACTGTAGGGTCCTGTACTCTTATTTCTTGAACCTCATTAAAAATGTGCTTTTATGCAGACAAGAATTAATTGCTATACTGATTTTTATAAGCATCCCTGCACCATAAGACATGTTTCTGCAGTCTGAACAGATGATAAGCAGGTTATACTTCCTGATTATACTTCCCATTACATCACTTACCTCTTATTTTTACACAAGTCTTTAAGAAAGCTATCATGGCTGAACACACGTGGTTTGAGTGAAAATGGGTGTGTTGCTTCATTGGGCTTTTCTGAATGGCAATTGTGACTTTACCTTCTTAAAGGAAAATTTCACCTATAAAATCTACTGTCTAGATTTTTATATGTCCTGTTAAGTGGAACATATTTAATCTTTGAGAAAAGAAGAAAGCATTCCCATAGAGTAAATGTGGTCGAAACATGCAGTATTTATTTTGGACTCCTTTTGCAATAGTGATGCTAATTTAAGAGACTGGCCATGGCACAAGCAGCAAAAGAAAGAGGAAGGAGATGCGTGTTACTGACACAGAGGCCAGTTTCTGGTATGCCTTTCAAATAACATGCAGCTGGCAAGTGTACATCCTCTTTTGATTTATGAATTGAAGGGCCATAATTTTCCTTTTACATATCCTTTTGACTTTTTTTTCCACCACCATCACCCCTCCAAGCAAAAAAAGCAAGAAAACTGCAATGATGTCTAATTCTATATTGTTTCCTACCACCACGGCTTCACTCATCTCAAACCAAACCAATTGCAACTTCTGCTTCAAAAGAATCTTTTGTCTAACATTCACTCTCTCCATATAATGCCAGCCTGTCAAATGAGCCAACTACTTCTTTTTATTTCCTATTGATCTGTGAAGCCCAAACATACTATACTGTGCACGTTTGAGTGAAGAATGAATAAAAGGTGAAGCATATGAACGCTTCTACCCAAACTGCAGGGATACAGTTTTAGAGCAGTGTGAAGGGATTTAGATGTGTGACTTCCAATTACCTTAATGGCAGCCATCTGGTTCAATTGCAATGCATCACTCTGAAATCCTACCCCATACTGCATGTAAGTAATCTAGTAATTTGCAACAGGCCATCTCTATTGGCCAAGAGCTAAGAAGGGATATTTTGGAAAAAGACGTTGCATTTATCCTACCACCAGGAGAATGATTGTGCCTGGAACAAAAACAAACAGAAAAAGAAAGTAGCACCAATCTTTCTGCTCTCTCTCCTTATTTTACTTTCACTGCAAAAAAAGACTCTTCTTGTCAGCCACCTGGGAACATATTTAATTTGGCCAGTTTTGCAGGGAAAGATACTATTTCAGATAAGTTACTCAGTAATTTCAAATAATCCCTGAAAGTTTTTCTCACAGCATTTTTCCAAGAAACACAGAGCAAACTACACTTGTCAGCAGCAAATGTGAGCTCACCTTATTACAAAGTCATGGCTATCAATCTCCTTTCCACATCCGCTCTCCAGAAGGATGCCAGAATTCCCAACAACCGCACAGGTTTTAAATCGCCGATTCTTCATGGGGGAAACCTCGGGGAGGAGGCTGTGCAAGTCCTGCGAGATGTTCAGCGTGCGACGCCTGTCCAGCACGTAATGGATTACATCTCCTGGCTTGAAGCTGCTTTTGACCACTGAGACATCCCTTTCAGCATCCAAGAATCGAAGGATGTTCTTCCTGTTAGTCAACAGAAAGGCAGAGATAAAACTCAGCACTCAGCCCCTACATGGAGCTTATATGGCAGTAGCACCAGCACAAAGTTGAGGGCAGACAGCTTCAGCTGGAACAAGGTCATCTCCCATGCTCTGCTAGGGTAGAAATCAAAGGCTCAATTACAGTATTACCTGTAAAAATGACAGTGCATAGAGTTTATCCACTTCATACACACTGACAGACCAATGGACAATGACTCTAGAACTTAGAGGGAGCACTATTTTTGATTAATATTTTACAAAGCTTCGCACAGAGCCAAACCTAAATGCATATATTAAAAAAAAAGACAAAATCAGAGCAACTGGTTTTCCTAAAAAAATACATTAGTTAAAAGATTGAGTTCTATGAGCTAGAGAATACATACTTCACCTTACTCTCCTCTCTCAAAAGCCAGTTTGGTTCAGCAATGACCATGTTTTCCTTTAGATTGCTATTTCACTACAAGAATAATGTATTTAGCTCAGCTTAAACTTGCTTCTAATTAACTGAAGGCTCAGCCAAAGTTATCCCAATCAACTTGAAATAAGAACACCCTCAATCTTTTGCACCCATTTAACGAAACCAGCTTAAAACTGCACTGCAGCTTAGCATGCAGCTTGGCTGTTAGCTCAGTGCAGAGCAGGGCTTCTTGGGAACTGTTATCATCACTTTAAATCAGTTTACTCCAATCCCTTAGCTTAGTCTCTGCAATTAAGCATTTAAACAGCTAACCAGGGTTTAGCTGCTCATCATCAAGCTATCAGATAGCACAGGTCCAGGGGATGGGGTAATTAAGTAATTCCCAGTCCACAGCAAACAGCAGGTGAAGTATGTCTGCTTAAATGTCAACTGAGGATGCTAAGTCACAGCAATTTGTACCTGCTTGTGAGGTTTAGAAGGGAGGATTAAAGAAAAAAAAAATAAGGCTCTTTAAATTCACCAGCTCAGAATAGACATCTTTAAGACAGTGGTTCAGCATGGACCAGTGCCTGCACCGGCTCCCTCGTGTATTTAGTCCTTGCAGCTATAAGCTGGAAAGGACCTCGGCTGCCACCACAGACCTCTTTGACTGAAAACTGAGAATGACCCGGACTTGCAGAGCACATTAATATTTTCCACTGGTGTCAGCAGGTGGAAGATCATTTAAAGCATAGTGTTTCGTTAAGTAAGAGGATGCTATTTTTATGTAATCAGTTTTTTGAGCAGAACTTCCTTAGATAGGACCAAAACAGGAAGAAGTGGTGACTAGACACAGCGCTGTGGCGGGGAACCATCCCAGCCAGCGGCGGAGAGGGACAAGTGGTGGGGAACCATCCCAGCTGGCATCAGACTGGGATGAGCAGCAGACGCCTCCGGAGCCCAGCCAGCTGCCGGGGCTGCATTCGGGACCAGCCACTTGCAGCTCCTCACGCTAAGCGCTTGCCCTGGGACCAACCCTGCCTGCTGCAGGGGAAGTGAAACACAATAAAAACTTTGTTTTCAAGTATTTCCTCTCTCTTCTTAAGCCACGAAGGGGAAAAGAATAAGAGAAGAGCATTTAAGGCTCCTTTCTGCAGCTATTGCACGGATAAAGCGGCACTACAGCAAGGACACTGGTGCCAAGGCTGGCAAAGGTCTTCCAGGAGAGAAGCGGGGGGTGGGGGATATTCAAACCTCAAGTGCTTAAAGCTTTTATCGAGTGGCATACAAGACCAGGAAAAACATTTCTGTAAAGCACAATAAAGCTTCTTCCTCAACCGGCAAGTTCAAGTGGACTTGAAAGCCCTGTGGGCTTGATAAGCCTCGTTTTGTGGGCACCCTTTAATAGATAAATATGTAAACAGCTATAGAATGAAAAAGAGATGGAAAAAAGAAATCGACTGATCCCGCAGCATTAAAAACAACTGAAATTATTAAATACCAAGACCAGAGCCATTGCATGCAGAGATAGGCAGATGCACCAGGCCCCGATGGCAGTAGGGAGCTCTTTGGGGCTCCCCCTCACAGCTGCCATTTGCTGAGATGCAAAAAGACAGAAAAGTTACCTGCAATGTGGAGAGACCTGTTATTTTTACTTGTTATTATGTGTGGTAGCAAAGGGGCAACACTGGTGTAGACACAGAGCAGCTCACATGTTATTTTAAAACACAAGAAACTGCCATGCATTAGGGAAACAGTGATGAAAAATAAAAGCCTTGGCTTCCTGTATTAAACCGAGGAGAGTAACATGCAGGCAGCATATGCTACACACCTGCTTAGGCTCAGAAAAGTCTTCCACTGAGTTTCAAATGGAGATGGATTAAATTTAGGTAACTGAGAAATCATTAAGAGAGCTGAAATTTCAAAATGCCTAAGGAATTTATTTTTCCTTAAAACTTTGAGATGGCCAGAAGTCACTGAATCTTAGTATGGTCTCACATATCTAAGAGCACATTTTTAGCTGAAGCTGTGAGGTTTACCATCCAATGGTAAACACAGGACCAGGTGTTGGAGGATGTGTGAGGATCCATGTGTCTGTGTGAGATGTGCAATAACTGTTGCATTAAAATATTCTTAATTGATCTACTTGACTGTGTCCAAATATTTTTAATCCGGAAGAACCGTGATTCAGTGTGCAAATGTTTGTGCCATTGTTTTAAGTTCCTCTCTTCCCCTGACTCATCCATAGCGCAGGGATGGTGGCACTTGCCCTTTCCACCTAATGCTAAGAGGAAAATTACACTAATAGATACGACAAAAATTAAGGGCAGAGCATACGTGGGTTTCTTGGTCAGTCTTGATGTTGGTTAGGAATAAAGAAGTGCTAATTCAGAAATTTCATGGCTCAGTTAAAGAAGGGAGGGGACAACATGATTTTCAGTGAAACTTGAAGCAAAGATGCTGTATGGAAGGGACCTCTGAAAGCACAAGCCACACTATAAAATAAACTGTTTTTCTGAGGCAGGATTGAAGTTTTCTTTTGATGAACAAAACCGTCCCAGGGTGCGGCTGGAGCCTGATGTGGGCAGGTGACCACAGGGGCTAGTGGGGCTGACTGGAGCCCAGCAGCTGTTTGCAGCCTGCTCTGCGACTCTCAGAAACACAGTGCCCCAAGTTGTGGTTGACCTGAGCTTGTTTTGATAAACAGAAACAGATGTTCAAACTGCTCAAGCGCCGAGTGCAACGCCTGGTTATCTGATGAAGCGTATTTAACTGATACCACCGCCTTTGCATAGCTCTCCAAAAGATATAAAGATGTCACCACATAGCCCCAGAAAAATACATGTTTTCTATTTATGCGCACAAAAGTCTTTGCAGTACACAACACTATCATCCTGCAGCAATCTCTCCCACAACTGCCACAGAATCGCTTGCATTAAGGAGAAAAAATAAACAAACAAAAAGAAACACATAAGTATTTGACTTCTAGGAACTAACTTTTTTATGCAAATGTCCAAGCAAGGCAGTGCTGAAAGATTCCTCTCACCCATCTGCAATCTCTGTCTCCCCGTCCTCCCCAATGCAAACTGAGATTGGTCCCGCAGTACCTGAAGCCCTTCCCGTTCCATGCACCGTGCACATGGAGAACTGATAATCATCAGGCAATAAAGCCTTGCTCTGCAGCAAGAGTCTTCAGACACTTGAGGCTAATAAACCTTCATTTTTTTTTTTAATCTAATGCATGTTTTTTTAAGACCTCTGAACCTTTCTGCTGCTCTTCTGTGGACTCTCCCCAAGGGGTTCACACAGGCCCTCCCATGCCCCGATTTGCCGGACATTCACCCCACACTCCACAGAACCCTGCTGCTGCCGGCCGGTCTGCAGGAGAATCGAGGAAGACGGCTTGGGTGAACACACAGCCAGTTAGAAGCCCCTTTCCTTGAAGAAGCACTCCAGAAACTACCTTTGGACTGGAGGAAATGGAAGCAGGGGTCAAGGTTGGCCCCGTGTAAAACCACTCGCCTGTGGCTCTGAGACAGCTCCAAGGATGGATTTCAGCTCTATGCTCCTGCATGCCGCAGGCTCACCTTGTCGATTTTACACAGACACACTAAAAATATCCCGTCTCAAAGCCGCTGTGCTTTGCAACTCTGTTCACCCTCAGCACCTGAGGAGCAACATGTAGTTAAAAGCCAAGCCGCGTCCACAGGCTTGAGCAAGAGAGAAGCGCACAGCTTGGTGTGATTAACCATCCTTCCTTCCCAGTATTTCCTTCCTATGTGCTCTCTATACATATTGATCACATGGAGGCTTTTAATAAATTGACACCAGTTAGGACTTGTAAGCACAGTTTTAGCACTTTCAGCTCTGTTCTCATGAATATCCCCTTTATGTGATGACGGGGAGGACTTTTCACATGCTGTCAAAACAAGAGACCAATGGCTTGTTTCTCTAAAGAACCGCTGAATACTGGAAGGCCGAGGGTTACTCACATCCCAATATTTTTATTTGCTCTATAATATATATAACCAGCCCAATATATAACCAGCCAGTTTTTTTACTGAGCGCTCCTCCAGACCAATCTGAAGGAGATACTTTGCAACTTTCGTGAACATTGCACACAGGTTTCCACTTGCCACTCTAGCAAGATCAGCAAACATATATTTTTCCTCACTCTGGCTGTGCCACAGATCTCGAGTGGCATCACAACAGGGAAAGGAGGGCTTGGAAACCCAGCATGCATGGCCACTGCTTAGCACTTGAGGACATATCATAGATGCTTCATATCATCTTGCAGGACAAATAACAACAAAAATCTGAGCCCTTCTGTGAGGGAAGTCTTTTTTTCCTCCTCTAAAAGAAGCTGTTAACATATTACAAGTTCTCACACTTCTCTGACAGGAAATCTCCACTCAACAAGTTCTCAGACACATCACAAACAGATAAGCACATCCTAGACACGCACGAGGATTTTTTTTTTAGTTCATTTTGCCTTCCTGCGATTCAAAACCTTTATCTGTTCCTTCCAATGCAAATACATGACCCCACTTACTCAAAAGAAGAGGAAAATCATGTGCTCGAGCTTTGATGGCTGCATTTCATTTCACAGAGACCACAGAGGTGCTGGCTTGGCACTAGCCCTGCCCAAGCCGCACGCAGGTTTGCACCACCTCAGCCACATCTCTGTTCTGAAAGCAAGGTCTTGAATGGAACTGAAAATTCCCAATTTCCACAACTGGAAAACCTTCACATTGCCACAAACAATGAAGAATTTAGGCACAAAACCCCACAGAATGTGGACCCTCTTGCTCCTGGTCCCACATGACTGAATCATTCAGTCAAGGATCAAGCAAGCAGTCTTCTTTCCTTGGGCAGCAGAATTACTAATTATCCTTAAAAGGAATTGTCAGCAATAAGAAGGTACCATACATTCCAAACAAATCACTTACTTTCCCACTGGTATGGTCAAAATTGGCAAGGCAGCAGATTTGCTGCAGGCTCTAGTAATGAGCTAACAATACTCACCATCCCCATCTCGGTCATGCAAAGCTTAGCTCTTTCTTCCAAGCAGGCACCTCCAAAGGGCCTGCTATACCCACTTGACTGGGTCTTCTGCTCACAGAGTTCAGCAGAGCATCTTGAGAGCCCAGATACCCTATAGAAGTTCTTCCTCCTTCCAAGGGGTCCTGCTTGTGGAACTGCTTCACTCATTGATTTCTACAACCTGGTCAAAAATTCATTTCCAATAGCAAACAGAAGAGACCTCTGCAGTTGATAGAAAACAATCATTAGCCCAAGCAAATATAAAATGGCAAGAGTGGACACACAGCCAACAGGGCAAACAGCTAAGCACAGTGCCCTAGCTGCCAAAATGCTAGTCTAGACACAGCACAAATCACGCTATCCTTGCAAATAGCAAAACTGACTATCACATTTTCTCTACATTTTAAGTTTTTTATTGTGGATGCCAAGCTGATGTAAGATACAACAGTACCTGCCATTTTAGGATGATTATAAGTTTTATGAAATGCCTGTGTGCTGTACATTAATGGGTTCACAAATTGTTTCTCCACTGCTAAGAAGTGACAAGTTTTTATACATTATTCAAAAGGTGCTAGTTTGTTTTTTATTATGTTTTCCTCTTGTTAGTATTTGCTATGGCAAACCTCACACCACAATTCAAACACTATTCACATTAACAGTTGCAATGATAGAGTATGAATCATCTTCATGGTCTACACAGTGCAGGCAATGTGCTCTGGAGGACCCAACCGTTAGTCTCAACATGAGAACACTGCAGGAGGTTGCTACACACATTTAAAGTTAGTCTTGATAGCTCTACAGGTGTAAAAATATTTACAGCTAAGACGTTTCTCACTGCTGTGACAAGAAAGAAAGTTGTACAGCAAACCTCCTGCAAAAGTGAAAGAAGAGTGCATGTTGTTTAGTCAGCAGGAGCGGGACACACAGGCTTGTTTGTGGTTTCTGCAAGCAAAGCAAACGTGCCCAGCTCCCCTCCCTCACTGCTGAGGAGCATATTCGAGTGTGCCATGCATGGAGAGGACCTGCACCGGCTGCTACAGCTGGTTCTCTGGTCAAATTTTGGCCCTATGTCACATTAATCCAAAATCCTGTATCAGATCAGTGAAAACACCTTCTTCTCTCAGCCGCTGTCCATGAGGATAGCTATTTCACCCCAAAAAGATGCTAAAGCAGGCACTTAAGTAACCTCAACCTTACGTACTCTACTCTCCAGAAAATCTCTGTGCTGACCAATTGGGATCTTTACTGACAAAACTAGTGCACAGGATTCACATTTTTCTTCATTGAAACAAAAAAATATCCTTTACTGTGAAGTTTCAAGAACGGCCAATTAATTACATCTCGGTGTTTCTTATGAGCACATTTATAGAGTGAAAGAACTTTCTGATCCCCCAACAGTAAGAAGAAAAATGGTTTGTTTTTGAAATTCAGGTTTTTGGTAGAATGAGGTGATATGAATGTAGTAAGAAGCTTAAAAAAAAAAAAAAAAAAAGTACCCTGTGTTTGACTTGAAATGATACTGTTTGCTTTTGAAACAGGCAAAAATGAGCATCTCAGAAGTATCGCAGACTCCCATTTCTCTTTTAACTTTACCTAAAGAATGTCTGCAATATTAGCATTTGTTTATTGTTTGGCCTGAGCAGGCCAACAAAATATATTGTTTTTAAATGGTTCTGAAATATATGATACTTAATTCATCACCAAAATGCGATGACTAAGATGAGTTATTATAGGTTTCCGCTTCTCCGAACAACTTCCAAAACAAATCAATTTACATCAAAAGCAAAGTGGTACAGTTTTATTCTCCTGTCAGAACTATACCTTACGATTTGAATTTCTGACACTTCTCAAGTTACTATATGTCCACCTTAAACTGTCAGTTATAGCGACCTAAATCTTAAATATTGTTATTGATGTCAGAATTCTGCTTCTTTTCCCTAAATTATCTTGGGAAAAAAATTAGCTTTTCTACAACAACCACATGCCAGTCAGAAAGGCCACATCTGCGCCAGGGCCTTGGGAGCAACAGCAGCCCCGGTGTGCTCCTCAGCTGCATTCTAGGGCAAGAGGCAGGGGTGCCCTGACACAAAGCCCAGGTGCTGGGGGCACCGCTGAACCCCAGGGTCCCTCATCCCAGGGCACGCAGTTGTTTGAGACCACGCGGAACACCTTGAGCTTGCCCGGTTTCCGGGACAGAGCCCCTGGCTCCAGAGCATCAGTTGTAGAAATTATTGCTGCTACCCAAAACCTGCTGCTCTTTTCCTTCCCAATGGCAGAGGGTCTGTGCTGCCTCTGCCCTTGCTCAAGAAATCCAAGAATTTCAAGAATTGCCTCTGCTCCACAGATTACTTTCACTACAGCTTTGTAATACACAAGTCATTCCCCCACTACCAATATCTTCTCCTTGCCTGGGAAGGAAGAACATAAAAGAGGAGGTGTAAACCCCTTTTTCAGAGAGGCCATGCCTATTGCACACAGAAGCATCACGTTTTAAAGGATTTCATAAACTGCCCTCTAATTGATACAACATCAAAGATAATCAAAATCAGAGTGACATAAAAAACACATTAGATCAAATTCCTACCCAGCTCTAAAACAGTGCTAAGATTCAGAAGATCAAAAATTCACCCTGCTATGCCTTTGCTGCTGGAAAATAACCACTTTTATATCTCCTTGTACAGGGCACAAGGGGCTCAGCCCTCTGTCCCACTAATCTGAGCTCCACAGCCTGCATGCCCCAGATATCCTCCTCTGATAGGGATGACAAGTGCCCAGTGATGGTTGTCCTGATGCAATGGTTAGGAAACACCAAAACAAAATTTTGATGTCACTCCTCTGAACTCTTGCTTTTGTGTCTGCCACCACGAGGACCTGAGACTCCTCCTGTCCTCCACAGCCAAGAGACAGAGAACTGCACCTGGTGGAAGTGGCACCAGCACCATGTAGAATAGTCATGGATGTCCAGGGTAGAGGCCATACACCCAATGGCCCCTCTCTTGGCCTCTAGATCTAGGCCATCTCTCTAGGCTCTCTTTTCAGAGAACAGAGAAATACAGGTACTTTCAAGATATTTACATCTGTCCTATTTTAGGCAGCTAGGAGATGAGATCTGTCCTAAAAGCACCAATTCTTCATCACCAGCTGGAGAAAACATGAGATAACCAGCTCAAGGCAGACACACATAACGTAGACATTGTCCTCGAGAGACAGACTGACATAACGTGATGAAAAGATGTTATTTATTCTTGGGAAGGGCAACCTTACTTCAGATCTTGAGGTCATTCGGTTGCATTTAACACTGCACCTAGGCCAGTGCAAAATTATAAAACATTCAACCTGCAAGCATGAATCAAATGACAAAGTTTTCTAGACCAGAAGAAATATAGGCAATAGTAGCATGGAAGGAACTTTAAGGCACTCACCTTATCTCCAGTACCAATGAGGAATTGATTTTCCAACCTTCTGCAGAGTGCTGGAAGATTGAGGAGCCACCCTTTCGAGTTATTTTATCAGAGCTATTGATCATTGATCTACTCAAACTCAGCTCACCATCTCTGCAATGCAACACAGAAAAGACACAGTTATGTTAAGGCTGGTTCTAGTTTGAAGTAATTCAGATTGCAAGCACCGGGAACACTGTCTTTTCATCCACAGCAAAATGTAGCAATTAGTTCCCTTCTCACCCACTCCATTCACCAAATGAAATAAACTAAACCCATGAAAAATTTATGGGAAATTTGTATCTAATAATTTAATCTATTTTCTTTCTATAATTTTATTACAATAAACTCCAAACTGCAGGTAATTTAACTCCAAGTTGTAAAAAAGCACGTCAGACCAGGTTTGCCTCAGTATATGTGTGAGACAGACTGTGCACTCCT